TATAAATGCGGTAGTGGTGTAGTGGTAAGAGCGCTCGCTTTGTAAGCGAGAGGTTCGGAGTTTGACTCCCACCACGTCCATGGAAGTACCGCGCTCAACTTAATTTCTCCGCGCAGCGGTCTTGCTTGTCAAGGTTCGTGTTTCAAAATTAAAGAGTTGAGAGAGGGTTGTACCACGATTTACAACAAAAAAAATAAAGAAATTAAAAAAAAAAAAATGAGTAGCCTCCTTGACTGTAGTGGGCCCCTCGGGCCTTGGGAATGTTAGTAATTTAAATATATATATATATATATATATATATATATATATATCTATATATATATATATATATATATATATATATATATATATATATATATATATATATATATAATAGCAAAATTTCGAAAATATTTTTTCTCTTTAGGTTTTTGAAATAAAGTTATTAATGTATGTTAATTTCATGGTTTTTGTTCAAAAACTCATCTTGTAGGGCCATGGCCATATTAGATTGTAAAAATGTCATAACCCTAATGGGAGTGTGTTTTCATTGTATACCTTTTTTATGTTGTTGTTGGGATAAATGAATAATATTTCAACTTTAAGGATAAATGAATAAAATGGCAACTTTGTTGAGGTTGTTTTAAAGGCATATAGATTTTTTACAATGATTTTTTAAATGAAAAGTTGAAATTTTCTGAAGAAATTATATTATAGTAAGCACCTATCTGATGTACACATCTTTATTGTTAAAAAAAAATTTCTTGCTCGTCTTATCAATATTTTATGTTCAGTATTTATTAAAAGATGTTGCTCAGCAAAGTTAATTATTAAAGATTTATTAAAGTTAATTGTTAAAGATTTTTTCACTTATTGAAGTATAAAAATTGTTGAAAACTAAAAATTTGTAAAGATGCTTCTCCTTAATTTTTATAAACCATTTAGTAACATTTATGGTGCATTGTACTTGATTAACAAATAGTTCATTTTTGAGTTCATAGCTAATTTTTGGTAAAATAATTTAGCTTAATCTTTCTACCTCATTGAAAATCAAAAAATGCTATAATCCTTACACCCCAACAACTAAAAATTTGTAACTTCTGCCTTCATGTTAAATTTGAAATATTAATGGGAACAATATATTAATGGGAACAATATGTTTAATAAGAAATTAACATTTTTAAATTGTATATATAATAGCTGATGATTGTCATAAGGCATGAAACTCTTAGTTCTATTTATATATTGTTTTTCATTTAAACACAATTTAAATATATATATATATATATATATATATATATATATATATATATATATATATACCATTGTATATAAATAAATAAATAATATATATATATATATATATATATATATATATATATATATATATATATATATATATATATATATATATATGTATATATACATACCATTGTATATAAATAAATAATATATATATATATTATATATATATATATATATATATATATATATATATATATATATATATATATATATATATATATATATATATATATATATATATATATGACCACCTAAAATGACTAAAATTGCTGTTTTGACCTCCCAAAATGAATTTTTATCAGTCATGTTTGACCAAAAAACATGATTAGCTGAGTTTTGGCCTACGTAATTGTTTTTGTGAGGATAATGTCTACCTTAAGACAACAGTTATAGTGCATAGAAAATGAGTGTAAACATACGGTGACAATGCTCTTTCAGAACAAACATGCAGAAGATGGTTTAAAATTTAAAGGTGGCGATTTTGACATTAAAGGTGAAGAACCTCCTGGTGCTGAGAAAAAGTTTGAAGATACAGAATTAGGTGCATTACTTGACGAATATCCATGCTAGACACAAAAACAGCTTGCAGAAACATTGAGAGTCAACCAATCAATAGTTTCTAGGCGCCTGAAACAACTGGAAATAATTCAAAATCAAGAAAATTGGGTGTTATATGAGTTGAAACTATAGGGCATAAAAAGATAATTTTTTACCTGAAAAAAAAAACCTTTTCATTTATTTTTCTTGTCGCTTTTGCTGCCATTTGCAAAGTCACTGCAATGAATGAATTATTTTTTAATTAATTTAAAAATAACAACTGGGCGTTAGCACATTTTCTATTTGTTTATGTTGTTTATGTAACATAAGTAATTGTTATAGTAACATTTCATGGTATTAAGGATTCAGTTTAAATTCTGTTAATATAAGTTATAAAAGTTGTTTTGAAATTAAAAAAAAAAAAAAAATCAACATTAAATTAATTGGTTTTATTAAAAATTATTAGTTTTAAAGGAATACAAATTTGTTAATTTTCAAGCATTAAATTGTTTTTGTATTTATAAAGTTCAGTCATGATGAGAAACTATTACTAAGATAAAAATTTAAACAAAGAAAAAAATGAAAATTTTGATTGTCCAAAAAAAAACAACTGACTTAACAAATCTATGTGTTAGCTGGTCAAAAAGACCGCTTGCATTCAATTTCTTATTTTCCATGCTAGTGTTCTTTATAAGTTGATTGCTTATTGTAGGGGAGATGGGGGCGCATTGATCGCCGGGGCAGTATGATCTTTTAGCTTTAACTGTTTACTTTTGCCTTAATTTAACAGAGATTGCAATTTAATTAACCATTATTTTTGATAAGATCAACTTCAGCGTTAAGAAAATTGAGAAGACTGTTTTTCATCATGAAAAGTGATTTTTGAAAGTTGTAAACAAATTCAAATAAATTTTTAATTAGATTTCCGTATGACTTTACAACCAATTTATTGTAAACTCATATGTGTTAAGTTTATAATAATTTTGTTTTTTTGAGTTGGTCTAATATACAGAGAGGATTTCAAGTAACTGGCATTGAGCCATTTAATCCAGAAGTTTTTAAAGATGATGAATATTTACCATCATCAGTTACAGATTGTGCTGCTCCAAATGTTGTAAACACAATTCTTGTGGAAGCTGAAATGACTGTAGCACATGTTGATGGCATGCAGCCTGAAATGCCTGTAGTACATCATGAAACAAGTTTTTGGAACAAAGTGTCACCAAACCTTACCTGAAACCATCTGCTAGAAAAAGAAGTGTTAAAAGTAGGCAATTAAAAACAAGGACTTTGACTGATATTCTAATCAGAAATGAAATTCGTTTGTCAGAAGAAAAGAAAACCCTAAAACAAATCAACCAACAAACGAAACTCATCGCAAAAGATAAAAAAAGGGGAAAAGTTAAAAACTACTTGCTTAGAAACAAAAAACAATGTAATGTAAAAGCAGCATCACGACTTGACTTTGACAAAGGATGATAATATAAAAAAATAATCTTGTAAACTTTAGTTCTAATAAAAGTCTTGTATGAATCTTGTATTTTTTTTGTAAACTGAAAATACTGTATTCTTAAAGACTTTATAAGCTTCAAGTTTTGTAAAACTTAACACATATATATGTTAGTAGTATATAACGGGCTTATTTTCATAGATAGAATTGTGGTTATTCTTCCTATGTAAACTTTATACACTGGTGTGTATTAGGTTGTAATGATATATATATATATATATATATATATATATATATATATATATATATATATATATATATATATATATATATATATGTATGTTTTAAATTTTCCTTTTTTTTTAGATTAATTATATAATATACACTAATACCCTTCAACTAATTCATTTGTAGCACTTAGGTATAGCAGTATTAAACATGTAAATAATGTTACTCATATAAGATCAAAGCGGCCCATATCGGAGATCATAGTACCCCATTGCATGGGGTACATTGATCTTTTGCAAGGGTTGTTGTAATGTTGAAATATACCACGTTCATTAATGTTTTTTATTAAAACATTTATTTTTACTTAAAGACAGATTGTTCTAGTTTAGTTTAGTAATTAATAAGTTTTTATATCTAGATCGGGTTGTTTGCAGTTTTCAAAATACTGCAACGGCGATCAATGCGCCTTTATCTCCCCTACTTAAAAACGGAGCAATAATAAATTAGTATAAATATTGCTAAGTATCAAGCAGTTTTCAATAAACATTTGTCATTTTTTTCAATAAAAAAAACAAACAAATGTTTTTGAAAACAAACAACTATAATATATATGTAAACAAATCGTATTTGTTGTTGAGCACTCTTATATGTACAAGAGTTTTTTTTTGTATATACAGTGTTCTTTAAAATAAATGGAACAACATGATTTTTTTTTAAAAAAAAGCAAATAAATTCAATCTATTCTCTATTATTTTTAAATTTTATTCCAAATATGTCAATAATAACTTACATACACTATATCCATCATTTAAAATAAAAAAAAGTAAATAAAACTGTTGGTCAATAATAAACAATTAAAAAATAAATAAAAAACAGCATTAATTTAAAAACTTTCGAAATTTGCAGTTTTTTAAAAAGCAATTAGTTTTAATGTACTTTGCAACTATTAAATTGTTTTTCATTTAGGCAACAAATAAAAGCTTAATGTTAAAAATTTTTAAAATGCTAAAATGTAGTGATGACTAATATAAAATATGATTAATATGTAGATAATATAATGATAAAATATTCTTAAAATATAGGTTGACTCAACGCGGGATCATTCATTAAATTGCTGTGTTATTCAATATGTGATTTTTCCACCTCATTCTCAAGTTTTAAAAGGTTGTGATGAAAAGAATGTTCAAGATGACTCAAATGAGTGCTTAACTACAATTGATGTGGAAGGACACACTCAGTTAGTAACTGAAATCTGGGTTGAGCCACAGCTTGGTACCATGGATACTTCAATAACACCTCTAGAATATATACATGGAATGGAATATAATAACATCCCTGCCAAGGTTAATATTTTCCAATTATTTCTTTATAAATAAATTTGTGTTTTATATTTGCTGTTTAAACTTTGTTAAATTTTATTATTTATTGCTATGTTAATATTTTTTTTAGATCTTTTCAATAGATGCACAAATTGTTACAGATATGAGTACTTATATGGCTCTTCATATGTCTTGCCGAAGCCATGTGATGTCTTCAACTATAGATAGCTGTGATCTTCCAATTATTCCCACAGATACTTTTCAATCATCTTCTTTGATAAAAATTCCTTTTTTATTTGATTTGCTTCCAGTATTAAAAAAGTCAAGGTTAATTTTAAGTTTGTACCCACTGATGAAAGATGACACTGTCAAAGGTTGTTTACATTAATTTTATATGTTTGTGTTACTTGATGTTTTATTGACTTTTTTCTATTGATGTTTTATTAGTATTTTGTTAATATTTTTATTGATTTAAATTTTATTTTATTTTGATATTGATGGAAATTGAGTTTTTGTTCTTTTTGATGTTGATATGACTTGCTTTTGTTTAGATCCAAATGAGATATTGTTGTTGCATTTGTCTGACACTTTACAAAATATGACAGATTATATTGTACCTTTAAAACCAAACTCCTTAAATGCAATTGTATCATACATTTGTCAGAGGAGCAACAACAACAACTTAACTGTCTGGCTTGGAGACTCTAAAGCACCATTTATGTGCTACTCAAACCTGAATGTAGAGTTTATCTGCTATGTTAAATCATTTGGATCAAGAATCATTATTATCTTTGTTCCAAAATCCATTAAAGATTTAGACATGGTAGTTAAATATGAAGAAAAAAGTAAATCTTTTTATTTTTTGTTTGTTTAATCAATAACCAATTAACCAAACAGTTGATTATAATTAATAAAGTTACAGTTTAAGAGTTATTGCAGTAGATAAGACAGTAAAACTAAATTCTGAAATACCATTTCAAAACGTGTATTTGTTTTCAAATTAATGTCATTGTAGGATAGTTTTGAAATATATACACAAGTTTTTTTTAAAAGGCATTATATGATCTTATTAAATTTTTTTTTTTCAGTAATCTTTTGAAATATTTTGAAATCTCTCACTTTTCTTTTTACTGTTTCAATTTTGATATAATTTTATTTTTTCAACTTTATTATTACTTATTTGAGATAGCAAATAAATCTTTTTTTTTTTTATTCAATGTCTAAATAAAAATATTTATATAATTCTTATTTTTTATTTATGTATATTTATATATCAACTAAAATAAGAATACATAAACCCATAAAAAAACATCAATATAAGTAATTTTAGTTAACATGAAAAAAAAAAAGGTAAATGACTTTTTTTCTAAATTCTCCTAATCTAAAAATTTTCAGTTAGAACCTTGTCAAACCAATGCAATGAAATAAATATTACTTAATGACATAATTCATTTTGTTAACAAAAAAGTGCCCGAACTTTAGTAAATGCATGTAATTTTAACTTTGTTACACAAATTTAAAATAAAAATGTTCTTTAACTACGTATCATTATTCAAAACTTTAAATTTATAAACATAACATTGAATATTCTTTCGCATATTTTATTAAAAAACTTAAGCTTTTAAACTAAATTTTTAAAAAAACAAAACTTAATTATGTTTTTAACTTACATACATGAAAATTGCAAAAGTTCTTTCGTTATTTTGTTGAAATATATATATATATATATATTTTATAAAGTGTAAAATCTGACCAACAATAATTGGAACATGTTTGCTCCATTTTCATGCTAAATTAATTCCGATTATACAAATAAATTCATTGGTAAAATAACATTTTACAATGATATTTTTTTATTATGCAACAATGAGAAAAATCGTAACATTCGGAAGCATAAAAATGACTTATATTTATTAAAAGTATATTTCAAATAAACTTTCATGTGTCTGCATCAATATATTTATTTGCTAATAGTTGAAGAAAAACAGAATAAAATTTGATTACTTTTTCATTTTCTACGTGGAATTGCCCATATATATATATATATATATATATATATATATATATATATATATATATATATATATATATATATATATATATATATATATATATATATATATATATATATATATATACATATAATGTAGATATGGGCAAATAATATTAAGCAAAACGGTTTTAAAAACTTCCCTTGTAATTGCAAACAAAAAGAAATCTGCCTGCTAAATAAATATTGTAGATAGATAAATAGATATTGTAGAACGACAAAGATAATTTACAAATGTATATTCATCCCAAACACACCCAGCAAAGCATGCATTGGTTTATTCGAGGGCGTGAGGAAAAATAGATGTGCAACCACAAGCAATCGTTTACAAATAAAAATTCAAATGCAACCATTATCTCAAAATATATATAGGAAACTAGGAATAAACTCAAAGAAAAACCAGAATTACATATGTATGTATGTATGTATGTATGTATGTATGTATGTATGTATGTATGTATGTATGTATGTATGTATGTATGTGTGTATGTATTTTATATAATATAGATACATATATACATTTATATATAAAATTTGTTTAAATTCTTAAATAAATTCTTGATATTACTGGTTTTACACAATTTATTGAAATAAAACAAGTTACCTTAAACTAAAAAAACTAAATTCTTTGTCAATATAGGATATACCAAATATTTATAATATACATAAATATAAATATATATTATACTAAATATAATACACAAAGATAAAGATGTATATAAACATGGTTATAGTCTTTTAAAAACACCATCTTTTGGAAAACCAAATTAATTCAATAAAAATAAATTGTTAGTATTTAGCCTATATATTTTGTTTGTCGATATAACTTCACTATAAAATAGCTGCTTATTATTGGATTTTTAGGTCTCTTGATTAACGTGATACTAGTAAATTGTTAATAGACTTAAGTCATCAGTCTAGTAACTTAATCACATAGAACATATAAGCTAGCATAATGAATTTTAATAATATAGAACATATAAACTAACATAATGAATTTTAATCACATAGAACATATAAGCTAACATAATGAATTTTAATCACATAGAACATATAAGCTAACATAATGAATTTAATATAATTGAATTAACATAATGAATTTTGGATTTAAATTATTAAACATTTCAATATTAATGAATTATATTTTGTAATTTGTATTTTAACTTTTTGCCTCACTCTGCGTAACTTTTTCAATGAAAAATCGACTTCAAAATTATACTAAAATTATTAGGCTGAACATGCCTATGTCGTATCCAGTAATTTATATATCAATGATGTAAATCAATATATTATAATTTTTTTTGTATTCTGATTCACTCCCAATAAGGTTGCAAGTAACCACTATTAAATTGGAGTTACTAGAAATTTATAATTACTAGAAATTTATGTAAATCAATACTTTATAATTTACGTAAATCAATATTAATTCTTTATTTTCTTATTTCTAATTATGATTCTTTATTATTTATAATTTATATTTATAATTTATGTAAATCAATATTAATTCTTTATTTTATTATTTCTAAATATAATTTCTTTTTTTAAAAAAAATTAAATCAACATTACTAAATTAAGTTTTTGCAGGATTCCAAGTGCTTTTCCAAGTGATTTAAGCCTCTCCACATTTATTAAATATTGCAAGTATGTTGTTAATGTCTTCATTATTTCTCAAAGCTGCATTGTTGTTTCAGTATTTCTCCTGAACTCCATTTTTGTTGTTGGTATTTTTAATCAAATCTTTTGTTTATATTGAAAATAATTAAGGCCCACTTCTTTTAATGCCAACTGCAGTTGTGAAAACCCCTGATATTTCATTGCTATTTTAGTTCACAAGTTTTTTTATAGTACTTAAAGATATTTTTTTAATATATGCATTTTTTTTTAGTATACATATTTTTTTGATAATGTTTTTTTTAATATACACATTTTATATAGTCATACTGTTATAGATACAATTTTTGTGAGCAAACCTTTTTGGTTTACTTTCATTTTTATACATCAATTGCATAACTTTGCATGACTGTATGAGTTGTCAAAAAACCAAATTAATGTTTACATGATTTATATAACCAAATTAATGTTTACATGATTTATACTATTTTCTTAAGGTATATAAGTAAATTTTTTTAGACATAATTTGACATGACACTGCATTGATATTGTTTTAAAAATAGTTAAATTATTAGTAATTTTAAACTGTCTATATATTTTACTTTAATTTTTTTAATTCCTACTTGTCTAATTCCTTCACTTTTTTAAATTGATAATTTTATTTGATATATTCATTATTTTTAAACATATGTATGTATGTAATTTTCTTGATTTGTTAATTTTCTGGAGTTAATGACTTTTATAGGATGTAGTATAAAATTTATTATAGGGTGTATTTGGGATGTTTTATAAAGTTTGTTTTGATTTTCTTAAATATTTAAACAATTAGATATCAAAAACAGTCATGGGAATCGAAGAAATCTTCCTATATTTATTTTTGAGTGCGAATATGAAGCAATTATTACAATTCCATCAAAGTATATTTCATTTGAACAAGATGTTATTCAAGATTACTCAGCTGCATTATCTGAAAGCGCTCTAACACCACGACATCTTAATCAAAAACTACCTGAAAATCGCTCAAAGGAAATTGCTTGTATTTGTCAAGCAGTTTATGACCATTATTTTTGGGCACTTGTTACCTCTGTTTACCACTGTCTACAGAATGGTTATACATTAGATTCTGATGATGTTGAATTATCTATTGAATTAGTCTGTGAAGAATTTACAAAAGAGATTGATATAACTGATTTTATTAAAACAGTGTGTGTTCATATGCAGACAGTTAACACATCATTTAATACAATTGAAGATATAGTATTTCCTGAAGTATCTGATCAATTTTCTATTTCAAACAAGAAGTTATTAAATGTTAAAAAATGCAGTTCCAGTGGTTCAAGTTCTTACCTAAGCAGCCATGGTTCATTGAAGTCAAAAGTTAACGATTGTGAAAATCATTTCTTAAAAAATGAAATAAAAAATCTGTTTTTAAAAATTTTGGCAAAGCATTTCACTTCAGTACCAAATAATCCCTATTTTATGTACTTTAATTCTTCACACCCTGAAGAAACATCAAGTGTTGTAAGTAATATTTGAGTTTATTATATGTATGTGTGTGTTTATGTATTTGCAGTCCTCGAAATTAGAGTTGGCATTTAGCAATGCCAAAATAACTGCCAACCTAAAAGTGTTTGTTTCTATGTTTTATGGTAAAACTTTGGTATCAAGTTTCTTTTGCCTATGTTCACATCTCTCCGTTAAACCCAGTGATAAGCTATCAGATGGTTGAAAGTAAAATGACAGTTTTTAATGCCAGAAATAAAATAAACTCATATTCTTATGTCTTCATTTAGTTTTTCTTTGGCAGTAGTAAATTTAGTTATCAGAAGGCTGTTAAAGCCAAAATCTAACCCTGCTATACCCCGAAGTTAAACTGCTATCAGAGAAATTTTCTATTGTATTAAGAAAAATAAAAAATGGTATCCAATCAAAGCAAGGGTAAAAAAATAAGTTAACTTTGATAAAAAATAAGCTATAGTATATACTATAATTTTCTTGTTGGTTTTCAAATGACAATATCTTAACAAGAAGAATATAATATAAACTTATCTTTTTAAGCGTTATTAAAGCTATGCAAAACGTTTTTAAATTAAGTAACAAATTACTACTAATGATTGGTTTAATAAAAGAACAAATTTTATTAAATTTGTTAAAAAGTGTTTTATATAATATTTTTAAATTGTATAAACATTTATTTTGTCAAAAAAGTTGCAAAAAAAAAAAATTGTTTAAAAAATAACGTAGGCTTTTTAAAATAGTAATTTTTACTAACTTCATGCTCTAATTAGTGAGTCCAATTAAAAAAAGGTTTTGAACTTTTTTAGTCATAAAAAAATAGAAAATAAAAAAATAAATAAATAAAATGCGCCTGCGATTTAAAGAAAATAAACTGCCAATAAACTTTTTAATTTAATTTTAATTTGAGCATTACAACTTTAATAATAAGCACTTCGCGTAACGAATTTAAAAATTATTATAAAAGATTTAATCTCATTCATTTTTAACAAAATTTAAAAAAAATATATATATATGTTTACAAAAAATAAAATGTTTATTTAAAACATTTTAAAAAATCGTAAATTTAATCATAAATATTAATCGTATGAACATTACAAAATGCTTTAAAACTTTTTCATTAAATCAGCAAAATACATGCTTATATTAGTAAATAAAGTTATTTTATATTCTTGTGTAATTCACATAAAATGTGTAAAAGTTAGTCGTCACAAAAGCTTTTGAGCTTATTCACAAATTAAAGTAACTTAAAAAAATTCTTTCTAAAAATAATGATTTAAAAATATTTTAGGAAGACTTAAGAAAATAGTTTCAAACGTTTAAATTTATCATAAAAAATAAATGCCTACGTAAAAAAAACTTATTTATAATGTTTTTTATTAATTTGTACAAGCGTTTACGTAAATAATAACTATAATTAATTTTATGGTTTTATTTAAAGCCTTTGCGTAAAATAAAAAACTTTAGAAAAGATCAACAATTAAAAGATATTTATAACGTAACCCTTTTTTAATGTATTCAAATTGTTAAAACATCAAAAAAGCCGTGGTCAAGTTGTAAAGAAATAAAAATATTAGCATGGTCAGTTACAGAGTGCGATCGCACACCATTCCTGTCTAAGCCTGCTTAATCGTAAAAAAATGTATATTATTTATGCACTTATTAGTTTACAAAAAATGTTCTTATGAAATGAAATGTATTTTGCATGTCACTATAATGCTACCAGCATATATGTATGTTAAATATATGCGTATCTGAATAACATTTATGTGTTTATTTATGTCTAAAAGCAAATATACATTTACTTTGATTCATAAATAGACAAGTATATATATATATATATATATATATATATATATATATATATATATATATATATATATATATATATATATATATATATATATATATATATATATATATATATATATACATATATTATATATATATATATATATATATATATATATATATATATATATATACATATATTATATATATATGTATATATACATATATTATATATATATATATATACATATATATATATATATATATATATATATATATATATATATATATATATATATATATATATATATATATATATATATATATATCTGTGTGTGTGTGTGTGTGTGTGTATTATAAACATATATATTTATATATATATATATAAATATATATGTGTGTATATGTATATATATATATATATATATATATCATTAGGAATACATGACAAGCGTGATAAGGATGTGACACTAACTCTTGTTTCCATAAGTTTATTACTGAAACAACATCGCTATGCCCCACTCAAAAAGACTAGTATTAAGAGCTTCAAACGTTGTTTTAAACCATGGAATACAAAAGGAATCATAAAATCTATTCAAATACTTTTCAAAAAAAAAAAGTTAAGATCAAAAGATTTAATAAATATAAACACATTTAAAACTATTTTTAAGCGATATAAGTTCATGATAATTACTTTAATTAAACTTAGCAAGAAAATCCATTTTAAAAACTTCTTTTTAGATAATGTAAAAAATCTTCGCAAAATTTGGAAAGGCATTAATAACCTAATAAATGTCAAAAATTATAACAGCTCATCTCCCAACTGTTTACAAGATAATGATAGATATTTAAATGAATCGACTCTAATCTCTGAAAAATTTAACACTTTTTTTACAAATGTTGCTCATAAACTTAAATCCGATATTCATTCGTCTTACTATCAACCATCAAAAAATCTTAAATATCCAAACTTACATAGTCTAATTTCATTTCTTATATCTAAATTGAAGCCGAGAAAATAATTAGGTCCAAACAGTATTCCTACAAACATTCTTATTGATTTTAACTACAAGTTTTCAAATATTCTCTCTAAACTATTTAATATCTTATTCATGAATGGAACTTTTCCTGATATTTTAAAATTATCTTGTATTATTCCAATTTTCAAAAACGGCTCTAAACTTTTATGTACTAACTATAGACCTATTTCTCTTTTATCTAACATTAGTAAGCTTCTTGAAAATTTAATGTATTCTAGAGTGTACTCTTTTTTAAACTCTTTTAACTGTTTAAATGAGTTTCAATTTGGTTTTCGATCAAACCATTCTATCTGTCATGCACTTATAAATATAACTAAATATTTTTAGTCATACTTATCAGTTATAACGAAAAGCTCTTGATACTGGTCATTTTGCTTATGGTGTTTTTATCGATTTACAAAAAGATTTCGATACTGTTGATCATAGCATTTTGATTTCTAAGTTAGAACATTATGGAATTCGTGGAGTTGTAAGTGATTGGTTTGGATCTTATCTTTTGGATTGGAAACAATATGTAAGTATTAATGGTTATACTTCTAGTAACAAACCTGTTATGCGTGATGTTCCTCAAGGTTCCGTTCTTAGTCCTCTTTTGTTTTTAGTTTACATTAATGATCTAAACAACTCTGTTCACTTCTCATTGGTTGATCTATTTGCAGATGATACCAATCTCTTGCACATCAACAAATCATACTATTCTCTATGTAAAAATATAAATTCAGATCTTAAAGGTATAGTTCATTGGTTAAATGCCAACCTAATATGTCTTAACACCGAAAAGACTGAACTAATTTTTTTTTTATCTCCTAAAAAAAACTGTAACAAGAACAGAAAAAACTGTAACAACGTTGAAATTAAAATCAAAATAAATAATAAACAACTTTTGAGATCCATTGATAAATATTAAATATCTTGGTGTGTTATTTGATTGCAATTTTTCGTGGAACTTCCATATCAATGAGCTGCACAAGAAACTTAATCCTGCAAATGGTATGCTTTCAGTAATTCAACATAATGTCAATAAAGTTACTCTTTTAAATATTTACTATGCATTATTTTCATCTCATTTTAGTTATTGTTGTCAAGTTTGGGGTCAAACTAGCAACTATCATATTAACAAACTAATGTCATCTCAACGCCAATCCATTAGAATAATAAACTTTCAACCTTTCAAATCATCAGATCATTTCCTTTCAAATATCCTTTCAAAAATCCTTTCAACCTTTCAAATCATCACATTCTTTTGAAAAACATAAAATTCCATTCTTTCATTTGCTAGTAAAGTTTGCTAATCTTCTTTTTGTTTTTAACTCTCTAAATAAAAATTTATCTTCTTTTATCGCAAATTTTTTTATAGAAAGTAGACTAATTCATACACACTCTACGCAAAATATAAATAATGGAAAACTTATTGTACCATCATATAAAACTCAAAAGTATCGTAAGAATTATGTTGTGTATCAGTGCATCTGTGAATGGAACAAGAGTCTTGTGTGCATTGTTAATGAGTTCAACTCCAACTCCAAACTCCTTTTGTCATCTTTTCTTAATCTTAATCAAAATCAATTTAAAAAAATTCTGAAAAATATTTTGTTATAATTTTTTTTTGTTACCATAATAGTTATCCTTATTTTTTTGTTTGTTTTTCTTTTCTCTTTTATTATTACCTACATATATGATTTTTAATAAGTTTACTTTATGTGTGTCTATGTTTTATGTTTTATGTCTATATGTTTATTATTAGTCATATTATTTTGAAAAAATGGCATCACTCCTTTGATCAGACTTCTGTATGAGTGACACCATCCATACTAATCATTAACTTATTATAATAAGAAATAAAGTATCATTTTACTTATTATTATTATAGTAATTATTATTATTTATAATTTTTTTTTTTTGTTATTTTTTTTATTGTTATAAATTATTACTATTGCTTATTATTTTATAATTATTATTGTTATTATTATTTACCTTATTATTGTTAAAATGATTTTAGAATGGAAAATAAATAGGTTGTTGTTGTTGTTGTTGTTGTTGCTGTTGTTATATACATATTTTATAATAAGTCTAATAAATGTAACAATTTTTTTCAGTTTCAACAACATGTTTCGATTATACAATTATACAATATTTCAATTATACAATAATCATTTTCAAGTATAAAACTGTTAA